TCGAAGGCGCAGTAAAAAAGTTAAAGATCATCACTACGCAAAATTGATCATTGTTTTTATTTTTATTGCCAAATTTGTTGTATACATAATAATAAAAAACAAATACATAAATTTTATTTGTCAGAACCGAATCATTTATTTAAAAAAAAATTTTTATTAATTAATATATCCGATCTCGAAATAATCAAAAAGAGCTTAACCGGATACTTTTGATAGGGTAGTGTAAGTGCACTTTCAAGCTGCCATTTGGGATTACGAAATTTTTTATATTTCCTTGTTCTTCAATTGTAATAGAAAACCAACGTTCTTTTTCTTTTAAAATATCTGTTATTGTTGACTTTCCAACATTATATTGTCCAGAAAGTTCTACATTATTAATATTTGGATTTTTTTCTTTTATTTCACAAATTTCTCGTTTTTGTAAAGCTGAAAGATTAACACGTTTTCTTTTTGACATGAAAATTGATTTGTTAAAAAGAAAAAATATGGCAAAGCGAAACTTTTATAAGCAAATACTTTATTTTATTAAAATGACGTTAAAATTATTAATCAAACTTTTTTGCTTACGGCAATTTATCATGGAAATGATGATCAATTTTAACGAATCAAATTTGATGTGCAGAAATTTCTTGATTTTTCTGAAACATTAAAGTTTTCTAATTTCCTAATTAGTCTATCGTCTAAATAAAGTAATCAATATTCAATAAAAGATATTTCCTCTCCAACAAAAAGTCTCCTTTTCTTCTACTACAACAATAAGAGCATCTTACATTACTTACAAATCTATATGAGAATACATCATAACTAACGATTTTCCGTGGAAACATCATAAAATCATTTACAATAAATAAACATTTATCCATTAAAATGTATCTTCAATATTTGTAATCTAAAAAAAAAGTACGATTTACATATAACAAGTATCTTATTTTGATGTAATTTGATATAATATTTTTAAAATCACATAATTTTTGAAAGTGTTGTGTTTGTTCTTAAATGATAATTTTTTATGCACGATTTGAGTTCGTGTGTTCGGTGATGTTTATGATTACAAAAAAAAAATAAAAAAATCCGATTCCGCGATTAAGATTCAGCCGAGATTGTGGCAGATCCAAGATTGATTCAGCCAGATGTAATTAAACTGCGCAATATTGGATGCCACAATCTCGGATCTGAAATTATTCTATTAATTTCAGATCCACAATGAAATTCGCGAAATTCAATCATGAAATCTAGGATCTATGATTATTAATACACGAACAACATTGCGCAATTAAATTGCGCGTGTCTTTATTATTTATTTACCAAATCTTTTATAAAATAGAGTCACATCGGATAATTATATAACTAGCATGGGGAAGCTCGCTACTCTCCAAGAAATTGCTACACTTATTTACTTTTGTAAAATCCAAGCTTTCTTGTTAAACATTCAAAAATTCAAAATGTTCAACAAATTTATTTATTTTCTGATGCTTATGACCTGTGTGCCAGCTGCTATTGCTACATTTGTCGAAGTTGTAGGAACATTGGCTATAGTTGATACTATTTTTAGTTCAACTCTCAAGGCTAATGTATGCTTTCGGGCAGACACCGGATACAACAGCTGCTTGGACTTCAGTATAGAATCAGCAAATAGAAAAAGTTCTTGTTTTTCAGATGGTGTCTGGTGTTTTAAAGTGGTCTCTTTTGACATGGGAAGTATTGATTATTCAATCATGTTTGCAAACTGAGAATCTACCGTACAATCATCAGTTGATTCCAATCCTTCTTGTTTAAGTTCAAAAGTGGGTTCTGAATGTGAATGGGAGATTAGTAATCAAGGATTTGACATGTAATATCGAAACAAATAGATATTTTCTCTTATAAAGGTCATTTTTAATTGCTCTTTTTACCAAATAGTTTATGAAAAATTCTATGTTTATTTATGACCATATATATGATTATGATGAATAGTTATTTTTTTTATTATGTTAAATGATATTATTTTTTTTAAATAAAGTTGTATATTTTAACATTATTGAAGTCGTAGTGAATTCACGAAGACGAAGGCCTACTGTTGCTTTCAAATTTCAAAAAAAAAAATCTCAAAATCATTATTAACGTCATCAATATTGTCATCGACAAACCAATCCTACAGTACGAAGTTAATTATAACTTTTTTAAAACAATATTCCTGAAATCTTTAGCAGTATATGTGAGGAAAATGACAACTTTTAATCATCAGCAAAGCTTGCGAGTTATTGCAACTTCTAAGCAATTCTATAAAAAAAAATATGGAAGTTTGAAACTGGTGTTTCTCTTTACATAATACTTCGAATTCTTCAGATCACAAACTCGCATTTCAAAATATTTAACAAGTTGCTTTACATTTAGTTCTTCAACAACGTATGACAGAATGTATTCTTCCGTTGATGTAGAAGTTTGTGAAGAGAGTAAATCATTTATTTTCTTTGTATTGATATTGTTAGTGATAATCCATTTGCACAACTAAATGACTGCGCTAACTTACATTACCAATGATCACTAGGAAAATCGTGATCACTGTTTTCACCGATTTCACTGCTATCACAGCTATCATTATGATATTCA